GGCCCTCGCGGCCGGCATCAGGCCCATGGCTCGCCCGGGCGCGGCGGCGCAGCAGTGGCAGGAATGCCCGGCATGCGCGCAGGTAGCGTCTTGCCCGCCGCCCGCCCGGGGCCGGGACCCTGGAAAAAGGGAGGGCCTGGGACTTGTAAGTTCCTGAAATGCCACGCCTGAAGTTGGCCCCCGTGGAAGATCGCGCATCTCCAACTTGCAGCCCCCTTTTCCCTGAACGTTGTTAGGCACCATAGGAATACCAGCCCTCTTTGCCGAGGGCTGTGCACTCCGCAGACTAGAACGCAGGCATCCCAGGTGGGGCAATGGAGGCTCAGGAAGGCCAGGTAATGGGATCTGAATCACCCAACCTGGAGACCGTTCGAGCCCCGACCGCCAACAGCTGGGCTGCTGGTTCAGCGCTAGAGCTCAGGGCTCCATGTCCCTGCCCTGCCTAGGGTAGGCGCCCTAGGGCCAGGGAAGGTGACTGGGGCTTGGTATGCAGTATCCTGTGCAGCACTGTGTGGTAGGTATTTTACAGAAGAGCGGCTGATATTTAGAGAATTTATGTAATTTGCCTCAGGTCACACAATTGACAGAGCTTCAGACCTATATTCTAACCGCAAGGCCTGTGTTCAACAGAAAGGAGCTCACAGCCCCAGCCCCACACTTGCAAAGTGTGAGCTCCTGGCAGGCAAGAGTACACAGCCTCAGGGCAGTAGCAGGCAGTCCCCAGGGTTGTGGACAGCATTCTGTAAGGAAGAGCTCAGGGGGACCTGGGGCTGGAGGGGCTGCTTATCTCAAAGCTCAGCTTGTAGGGCAGCTCATTCTTCAGGGTGTAGGCTGGGGGAGGGGAGTGAGACCCCCATCATGGTGCAGATTTAAAGGGCTATTCCAAATGTCAGTAATCAAGATACTTGATGACAAAGTTTAAAAAATGCAAATGAATATAAAACACCCATGAGGTATAAGATAGAAAGACCGACTGTAACACTGCAGTGACACAGATTTTTGAAATTGAGAGTCTCACCCTAATCCCACTCAGGGATTTAAAATTTGGGCACTTTGCAAATGTAACTAAACTAAGGATGGCGGGATTATATTGGATTGTTCCAGTGGAGCTTATGAGGGAGACAGAAGACCGTGTGACTACAGAAGAGCAGGTTACGTAAGGAGAGAAGCAGAAACTGGAGTGATCAGACCGTAAGTGAGGAATGTGGGCAGAGGCAAAAACAGGTTCTACCCTGGGGCCTCAGAAGCAACCAGCCCTGTAGACACCTTGACTTTAGCCTCCTAAATCTCAGTCCTGACACCTGACCTCCACAACAGGGAGAGAATAAACTTGTGCTTTAAGTTGCTAAATTCATAG